TGTGCTGTGTGAGTTGTGGTCATCTCCATGTCCTGAGGCAGAGCAAAACTGACTCTTCTGCCACCTGCAGCAGCCTCCTGCCCGTCCTGCTCCGCCGTCGTTGTTGCCATGGCCCCTTTTTCTAAGGACATAATTTCATTTCCACCTTGACCAAAGCATCCAGGTGCTGCATTATTCTGTGACAAAGTAACGTTGATGCTGTAATCTGGAACCATCACCACACAGCTGCCAGTTATGTCCATGTTTTCACTGTGGAGAAAGAGAGCAGACTTTTCTTCAAAGGAAGACAAGTGGGAACCCCCATTTGGTGGCTCAGATGTCCTGGCCTGCACCGGCTCTTCCGCACCCCTCCGGAGCAGCCCAGGAGCTGACGGGRGAGTTTTTAAATCTTCTCTCGAATAACCTGTTTTGCCCATGGAAAAATGTCTCTCAGAGTCTCTTTGGGTTGGCAATACTTTGCTTACTGCCCTCAAAGGCTGGGGTTTCTCTTGCCTCTCTGAGTTTTGGCCATCTGCATTCCTTTCCATAGCCTGGCTCCTTTTAATATTCCCATCAATACTCCTCACTTCAACATTTTCCTTGTCCATATCTACAGAATATGCACCYTCGGTGACATTTCTGTTCTGGGTCTTTCTTGAAATGATTTTACAGGGCGTTTGTTTCGGTTCTGCTGTTATCCCAGTGCTTCGACCATCAAAGACAACAGTGTGGCATCTTGTAATTTCCATTTCTTCCTGCTCAGTTACATTGGAAGACATGGATCTGTCACCCAGGAAATGAGGCTTGCAGGTGACAGAGGTGAACACTGCAGTGGGATGTTCATTATCGACACTCTTTCCAACATCCTTAACAAACCACGTTTTAGCCACGTCCATGTCTTCTCCTGTGAATATTACTGTCTTCTCACCTGAAAAAGCAAGCTGGGGGTTTGCAGAGGGATGAAACCTGCTCTTCAGAACAYCACAAGCCGCAGAAGGCGTACATGAGCCAAACCCAGTGCTGCCTGCAGCAGTGCTACGAGCTTGGGACACATTTTCCGTATGTCCACCTGAGGCTGAAGACCGTACATGTGCACTGATTTTATAGGGCACAACAGCAGGATTATCTCCAGGTGCCAGACCCTTTGGGATGTCCCCACACGATGRGTGTCTGCTCCCTGGGAGCCCTGGGTTGGTACTCACTGGCCTTTCACAGGTTTTATGGAATGAACTGCTCTTTCCTTGGTAATTCTCAGTCATTTCCATGTCATCACACTCAGAAAACACAACAGTTCTGTCCCGTCGGAAGACAATCTCAGATGAAATGGATCCCTGGATAGCAGACACTGTCCTGGCCTCCTGTTTCCCAGCTCGCAGCATTGGGGGGTCTCCTCTGCCTTCATCATTTGCTCTTTTTCTGTCTGCACAATACTGAAGGTCCTCCTGAACATTTAAGTCCTGATCAGATGCTCTCCTAAACACAGAATTATCTAGCCCTCTGGCTGAGAAATCCTTTTGAAAGCTGAGATTTTGGTTCCCAACAGTGGAGAGTGCAAAGGACACCTTTGCGGTATGACTGGTKGTCACGTCCATGCCCTCGTCTGCAAATGCCTTGGTGACATCTGCACACTCCCACTGCTCTGGGGGAGCCTCACTGATGCCAGGGAATGGAATTTGAACATCAATTGCCTCATATTTTGTCATCTCCATCCCACCTTCTTGGCCTCGAAACACTTTTGTCTCATTGCAGGTGTCCAGCGGCTCACAGGAATAGCCAAATTCCCTGGATGGTTGTGCCACATCTCCCGAGCCTTGGGAAGGGACACAGCAAACATTCTCCTTGTCAGGTCCCTCAGCACAATTGGGTCCTTCCTTGTTTGGCTTCAGTCCCAGCAGAAAATCACCTAAATCTATTTTTTTCGCAGTAGTGGCCTCCTCCTTCTGTTCCAAAGACAGGCCTGGATGGCTGTTGGGATCAGAGAGCAAACTCAATTCCTTGCTGCTTTCTGCCTTTGCCTGGCTGGAATGTAACTTAGCCAGGAAGGAGGTGAAGTTTATTTTCTCGGGTTTGTCAGGTTGCTGGGATCTGAGGTTCCGTTGTATCATGGCTGTGTGACTGGCTGTCATCTCCATCTCRTTCTCCTCTGAGAAGACGACGGTGGTGTCCTGCCTGTCTGTCCTTGGAGTGGCACAGTCCACATCATGCCACTGAAAAAAAAACCAAAAAAAAACAACAGTTCAGTGACTGACACTTAAAACAAATGATCAATGGTTTATTCTATTTAAAACAGAAGTAAATTAATATTGACTAATGTAAAGTCCTAAGGTTTTAACTCAATAAATCTTAAATAAAACCCAACAAACCTGTTGATTTCAGGCCTCTCTGATAAGCAATAACATATTCAAGGAAAGGACAATGAATTATATCTAAATGGCTGTTAATGAAACAGGGGTGCCAATCCTCAGCTGAGCCCTAGTTACATTATTGCTKGGAATGAAAAGGCACATTTTTTAATTGGTACAGGAACAACTTGTTCAGTACTGAATACGTGCAGTAGAAAACTTAGATCGGAACCTGTAAGCGTTGTGGGTGTGATGACAAAGAGGAAAGAGAACAGGCCTTTTTTAAAAAAAAAACTATTACTATTTAAATTAAGAGAACATTGGAGGAAACACCAATTTGTATATGCCTGAATGCTCAGTGACCTTGACAGGGAGAGATTTATTGGGAAAATTGGATAACTTGCTAGGGTGGTGAAACACAAATTCAAACACTTTCWGGGATGGGGAAATACAAATTCAAACACTGGAATCAAAAGCCAGAGAGGCAAAGAACTCATGTTAAAGGAATCAGAAGAGTTGGAAGAAATCTCAGAGGAGGTAGAGAATTAACCCTGTTGGTATGAGATGCCTGGATGATCAAAAGTGGCCTGACCAGTAAGGAATATRGTAAGCACAGAGAAGACAGAAACCAATGGATGAGTTATTGAAAAAGAAGTAACTTGTTTTGTAAAATAATCTCAAGGAAGGAAGGCCACCACCAAGGCTAGTAAAACAGAGGAATTCACCAGGTGACTCTTGGCAAACTGTTACATAACCWTGGTTATTTGAATTTAAACAAAATACTTATTGTGTGCACATCCCAAATGGGATTGCTAAATTAGATGATCAAATAGGATAAAAATGGATTGCTGCATCTAGCAGAAAATTAAGGGCAGAATTAGAAAGTAAATGGTTAAATAAAATATTTAAAGAATTAGAATTTTCTCTGACTGGTTAACTGGCCTCACTTTTGCAAAGTATAATTGTGATCATAGTAATAATTGTGATTATTACACTTGCCTTAAAAACTTACATAATATTAGTAAAAAAATTAAGYGAGGCTCATGAAGGCTTGCAAAGGAGACAAGAAGGGAGGAACTAGCTAACAACTGAGAAGTTACAGAGCAATTTCAGAAGCAAGAGTTATTTATGTTGCAGTCTAATGCCTATGAGATTAGGAAACACTTCAAAGTACAGAATATTCACTTTCAAAAKAATTTTATGTGAATACAAAGGTTTATTTTTTAGGCAGTTAACATTTTAAATCTTTACTACACAAACTCTATTTTGGACACTGGTATTTTCAATACYAAAAAACTAAAAGCCTTCACATACCTCCATCTGCTGCCCCAAGGCCTGGATGGGGGCATGAAGCAAAGTGTTCATCCCTGTGGAAAGAAAGGGAWTACTCCAGGTTTTGTGCTATTTGCTTATTATTTTATCCACTAAGCTGAAGATCAATGCACTGAGTAAATAAAAACAATTAGACCCAAATATATGCTGAAAAATATTTTCATTACTCCCTTCAGCACCTCAAAGGACCRCCCAGATTTCCATAACAGGGTCCTATTAAACAACTTCATGGAACAAAGCCTGCTCAAAGAGAGCTCTCCCAAGGCAGGGAAATTGCTTTAGGTATGTTAAAATTAAACACAATCAATAGGTTTAAATAAGCAGTCATTTTGTTATTAAATCTGTTTCCAAACTCACCAGTGATCTCACACGAAACAGACCCCAGGTCTTCACTCCTACAAAAGGAAGAAACAGTTTGAGAAACAATTTGGTAAAAGGTTTCAAAGAGAAGCCTTGATGAATAAACTGAAGAGGCAGAGAATTGTGTTGCACAGAATTCCATGGCAGAGCTCATGTGGATCTGGGCAGCCAGACACTGCTTATTTGTCCTCAATATATTCTRATTTGAGTCACAATCTTATTTTTCCCATGAAATTAGCTATTATGCCACAAACCACTGTTCAACAYATAGGGGCAATTTTAATTCCACAATGACAAGAAGAGATTAATTCTTTATTTTTCACAGAATCTATGGTTCTGTGAAATTCCCCTTCTCACACACAAAATGTCTTAGCTCTTATTTTACCACCAAGTCAGTTTAATTTTTCAGATCCCATCACYGTGTTTTATCTACAAGAACTTTGAGGCCAGACTGACACTTTATCTTTTTCTGAGGAAAAGGTTTGGTAACAAACATTGGATAATAACAAATATCTGTCAGACATGACACTTACTGATTAGTCATGATATCATCCTTCTCATCTGCTGAACACACTAAAAATAAGAAAACAACAAAACTACAATGTGAGAAGCATAATCACATTTGGACTTGGTCATCTTAGAGGTTTTGCCTGACTCATATGATTCTGATTCAACAAAACATTGAGACAAGAGTGAACTGCACAGAAAAGAATRTTTTGAAGTTCTCACTCTTGATGTGTCTTCTCATGGCAAAAACTCTGTGACTATGGGGTTTTTAGCCAGCCCAGGGTAAAGAACTGATCATGTTGTTCCTTCTCCAAACTGAAAAGTTCTGATTTCTTAAATTCAAGCTACAATCTGGTAGCTAATAGTATTGGAACCCTGTCAGGAAAAGAGAAAGGAGTTTTACCTGTGTTTTCTGTCTCTGACGAGCTGTTCTTAAGATCTCTCTGGAAKACTCTGCAGCTAAGAACAAAACCATCAGTTTTTAAAACACAAAACCATCTCTATAAGCAAATTTTAAAAAATCTGCACTATTTTCAATCTTTTCTACATGTTCTGAAACGAGATACCAAAAGCCAGAAGTGTACTGAACCCTGCATACTGAACCCAAAAGCCAGAACTGTACTGACAGCTGCATTCTTCAGGGAGAAGATACCATCATGATACTTATGATGAAAATCACTAAAAAAAGTAATGGAAAAGAAAAATTCCTGATTATATTAATTTCACTGAACTAGAATTTTTTTTTCAGCTGGTTAGAGAAAAYGAATAATGGSTCTCAGGGCTCAACCCAACTAGACWTAACAATCTTCCTGTTGCTTGCAGTCATTTGTGATTACTCATGGAGGACAGTTTTAGGGGATTTAGGAAGTTTCTTTAGTTTTAGGAAGGATTATTCCCTGCACTTTATGCCTGAGGAAAGGATGCAGCTGTGCACCCTTCAGCTCACTCACTCGATGGTGTTGGCRAAGCTGACCCTGCGCGAGCTCCTCCTGCGTCTCTCTGTGTTGATGTCCTGCCAATAAAAAACACAACAGCCTGCTACCCATGACAGGCACAGCTCTCCAAGAAACACCAAACCAAASCAAAGTGGTGTGTTAATATTATTAATATTGTTATCAAAAACAGTGCATCAAAACCACCTGTATAATTCTGGTTTAATCAGCAAAACACTGAGGAGTACTGGTAGGAAAGGGCTTGACARACCTACCTGTGTCATTTCATTCCCATGTCCCAGATCATCCAAAGGATTTCGTGGGACCTTTAAAATCTGAAAGAAAACACAATCGTTGAGAGATCAGCTCCAGCTCCAAGAGCTGGTTTYTTGGTTGGAGAGAATTTTTAAGAGCCAGCAGTGCCCCAGTCAATCCTCTCAGTCTGACAGGCTCCTTTGAAATGCTTTTCTTCAATTCCCAAAAGAATGCAAGTTTCTCTTTCAGCTTCCCTTGGCTCCTTTCCCCCCCTCACACAGTTTAATTTCGGGGAATGCTGTAAGTTACTCACGGAGGACAGYCGCTTCCGTCTGATGTGCTCTGTGTTATCACTGCAGGGGAAAAAGGGAAACCAGTATTGAAGCCTAAAGTTTTTAGCCTTTATGTATTTTCATSTATTTGTAGCTTTGYASACTGTTAAATGCCTTGGTATAACTTCTAACACTTTCTCAGCTTTCTTTCCCACAGTGCTTATTGACACATTCCTGAAATTTTGTTGTCTTGCCTGTTACTTTTTGAGGATATTTTATTTTTACCATGCAATCATAGGTATAATAAAGGTAGGGTGGGAGATGACCTAACCAACTGCTCCTCTAATTAGGCAATATTGGTTAGCTATTCTAATTGCCTAATCTTATCAGTTGTAAGGATCTTATTCTGAATGTGGTTTTTTTGACATGTTGTATACCTGAAGGCTTTCAAGTAAAGTTTTGCTTTTATATTATCATTATATCATCTGGAAGTTTGTGTTATGTTTCCAGGCATTGGTATGAGGGCACAAAATTGCATCAAGGTGTGTTTCCTGAATGATACTGCCATGGTCTTGAGGTTAATAAACAAATTTCTCTGTTAATTTTACAAGTGTGAAATTAAATAAACAGTGTGCTTGGAACAGATTGATCATTTCAGCACTGGTGCCCARAACAAGCTTTAGAAAACTCAGCAGACTTCCCCCGCAGTACCATGGTCAGTTCATCTCCTGACAATCCATCACAATGAAATCCCCTCACCAAACACGAAAGACATTCCCTGCTCTCCTTCAACATTTCATTCAAGGTATGTTGAAGTGCATTAACAATTTTTTTGCCTCTCAAGAGCAATATTTATACCACAGTAAAATTCTTAGAGGGTTTCAACTCACTTTTCCACGTTGGGGTCTGTGTAAATCTTGTCCATTGCTGAAGGACGTGCTTCTCCTATGAAATACAACACCAAAATTCAAAACCACTAATGAACCTCAGCAGGAAAACTGCACAAACCCACAAATGGCTATTAGCTTTTKATGCTGTGTTTTTGTCTCTCCATTCTTCTCTAGTCACAGAAATACTCTGAAGTACAACAGGCCCCTCAAGTCCATGTTCTCCTGTTATATTCATATTAGATACACATTTCCTATTGTATATCACATTAGAAAACAGCTGTGCTAACAGTTTACATATTACTGGTTAACTGGCTTTTTATTTAAAGATTCTGGTAAATACTGGGAGATAAATCAGATCAAACATTACCCACGACAAAGTTTGCTCTGACACACACAAGAAATTTTCCCTCTCCTTCTAAACTGAATTTCTGGTATTTCAGCTTGTGACGGATGCCTCTTCTTCCTTCTCTAGATACAACCTGGCTCCATTTTCTTAAAACCCTCCTGAAAGGAATAAGAAGAATGTGTTTTTACAAACAAAAAGTGGGTCTGCCTAATCCAGAGACTGATAGGTGAGATAGGCAACAGAATGTTACTCATTGATACAAATTGTTAGTTTATCCAAGGCTGCGCTAGATTCCTGGACTCTGAGAAAAACAACAAAGACACAGAGAAAAGGGGGGGGTGGTGCATATTAGAAAGGGTAATGTATGAGGCGATTTGACTTAGAGAAAAAGAACAGAGATAAAAAGGAAAAGGGGAGAAGGGGCAGGGGGATGCATATTAGAAGGGTCTGTATTAGACGATTTGAGAAGTYTSTACCTCTCAAGTACCTCAGCCAACRGGGAGAGAGAAATCAGGATAAAAAGGAGGCTGTGTCCTCCAGCAACTTGAGAGACCCCATGGCCTCTCCCTTTATTAATGAATTAAGATACGGGAGTATTCCGTCTCCTTTTTGGACTTAAACGTCTGGTGTCGTGAATTATTTTTCCTAACAGAGGGAACAATATCTTCCCAATATCTCATCTAAACCCACTCTCAGACTGAACACACAACGGMGGGACACCGAAGATCAGCTGGAGCTATAAAAACCCTGATCACTCTCCTGTTGGGGATATTATTCTTTTCCCCATTAGGATGAGCCGATTTAGTCTCTTTTTTTCCGTCCCTTTTTGTCCCTCGCATTGCCGCCCTCACAGCCCAGGCGCCAATCACTTATCAATCACAATTAATCACCGGTATTAATCACCTCTATCATTAATTACACCACATTAACCTGCTCGCCAGACATTAATCACCCCGGATCGATAGGCACAGCGCTTATCGGGGGGTTCCCCACACGCTCCGCGCCCACCACAGCCGGCACCGCCTCAGCCCTCCTTCCATCCAGCCGATCCCGAGGCCGCTCCCGGAGCAGCGCCGACCTCCCCGCGCCTTCTCCCGCGCTCCCTCCCCACACGACTCGCCCCGGCCACCGGCAACGGCCGCCGCCGCTCCCGCGCTGCCCCGGCGCCGCCTCCTGCCCTCGCTGGCCCGCTCGGCCTCTCTCACCKCCCGCTCGGGGCTCTGGGAGCCCCCGATCCCGGTTCCCGCTCCCCGGCCGCCGCCGCCCGTTCAAATCCAGCCGCCCGCCCCGCGACCGTGACGACACATTGGCGCCATAGGCAGTGGCTATCCCCGCCCGTACAACATGGCGCCCCCTTGTGCCGTACAACATGGCGGCCTCCGCGGATCGCTCGGCAGCTGCCATTTCGGTATCTCCCGCGTCCCGCACGCCCGCAGCCGCGGTGATGGTGCTGGCGCGGTACCGCACGGGCTCCATGGGSTGCTCGGTCGCTGCGCGGTGGCTTCGCTCCGCACTGTGCCCGTGCAGGGCCGCGTAACCGGTGCTGCCGCGCAGGAGAACGGCGGGTGGGAGGAGATGGTAGGGGTGGTGGGCGTACTTCCTTATAGGCCCRGTGAAGATGAAGCCGCTGTGACGAGGTGGCCGAGTGGTTAAGGCGATGGACTGCTAATCCATTGTGCTCTGCACGCGTGGGTTCGAATCCCATCCTCGTCGGGAGAAAAATCTTTTCTCTGATATCGAAAACGATTATTTTTTTGTCCCACATTTCTAAAGCGAGCMTCTTCCTCCCGCCTCTCCCTTCGGCTCTTGTGGGGCGAAGAAGCGGAGATCGCGCCCGGAACAGAAAGGGAATTTAAGAGTCACATAACACGACAGTGTCCCAATGGAATTTAGGGGGCGCAGCCAGGATAGAGTGTTTCGAGGGACCGAGGGGGTCTCACCCAGTGTCCAGTTTCCTCTGGTCCCTCTCCATGGGGTAGCCTGACTCACCTCCTTTTCCTCACAACCCAGCTCTGCTGTGGAGCTTCCAGTTGTGACAGCACTGGAAACAAATCCCTTTTAATCTCAACCTCCTCCAAAATCCCAACCAAATGTTCTCTTAGGGCTGGTCGGGTCCTTGGTGAAAGCTTTGTGTTAGAATTAGGACGGATGAAAGGTCTCTGCCATGAGGAAAGGCTGAGAGGGCTGGGATTGTTCAGCCTGGAAAAGACTCCAGGGAGCCCTTAGAGCTCCTTCCAGTGCCTAAAGGGGCTTCAAGAGAGCTGGACTTWGGACAAGAGAGAATGGCTCCCAAAGAGAAGGGGGGACATTTAGATGGGATACTGGGAAGAAATTGTTCCCTGTGAGGGTGCTGAGGCCGTGCACAGGGTGTCCAGAGAAGCTGTCCTGCCTCTGGATGCCTGGAAGTGTCCAAGGCCAGGCTGGACAGGGCCTGGAACAATCTGGGATAGTGGAATGTATCCCTGCCCATGGCAGCGGGGTGGGACTGGATGGGCATCAAGGTTTTCAGATAAGTAATTACTGCACTTGGCTTTGTTTTCCATCAAGTTATGACAATTAACAAAAGCATAAATAAGCCTATTGACAAGATACAGCAAATTTTTTTCCCTATGCCTAAGCCACCTGTGGCTCACTTCAAAAAAAAAGATCTGGAAGTAGAATTTAATGAGACACAGAGCTTCCAGGGGAAGGATCATCTCACACCTCTGCTCTGACAGCTGGGAGCGGTCCCTGCACACACTGCCATGGTTTTAAYTACACTTAAATCCTTCTGGAAATTAGATTATACCAAATCCTTGCAGAGAGAGTGGCCAGATCACAACTGTGCAGCCTCACAAGAGGCTCCCAGCCATAACAGACCAGTGGAAACACAACTGGACAAGTGTTACTCTGTGGAAGGTGGGTGTTTTAGGGGCTTATTCCAGTCAGTCCTGCATAGGGGAGTTTGCCAGGAAGGTTTATTTATATGGAAAAGTGCTTTAGCACAGTGAGATACACATTCTCCTGATAAAGACAGAATTATAGAATTGTTCAGGYTGGAAAAGACCTTCAAGGTCAAGTCTGAAGCCYGACCCAGCACCGTCAAGGCATATCCAAATAAAGCTGTAATAAATAAAGAAATTCTTCCAGGACCTACACTTTGTATGGAAAACTTTATGCCCACAACCAGRACCCAGTATTTACCTCAGACCCAATCTCAGATGGGAATTTATAAAAGGGCATCTCCAAGAGCAACATTTCCCAGCTAACAAAATGTCAAACACTGTTTTGACTTTGAATAAAATAAAGTGCAATTAGAGCCATTATTGTGAAATAAATCCTAATATTCATTGCTCAAAGAATCTTGGAAACAGAAGTCCATGGGTTTCTTGACCAGGAAAATAAAAGTTGCCAACTGCAGCCATTATTCCAAAAAAGGGGAAAAGCAGTGCTGAGCTCCAGTTCCTCATCAGGCTCTTTGAACCCAAACTCAGTCAGGAAAATTCCTGCCAAAGGATTTTTTGTAACAGAAATTTCTTACAAAAAAAAAAAACAAACTCCCAACACAACTTGGGACACCTCAAAGTCTAATTTAGCTGTCATCCCTAAATCTAACGGCTCTCCCCTGCACCCAAATCCAGCAACAGCTACAGCCACACTTTTTTATACACTGAAGGTGCCCAAGCTCCATTTATTTCCAATTCATGAAAAATTTGGACAACGCTGATTTTTAGCATCTCTCTAAATATCTGGAATTAAATTAGAATCACGAAATCCTTGGCAGGATGTGGAAGAACAAAGCTCAAACCTGAGTGAATTTTTATGGAAATATTCAACATCAGCTGGATCATTCAGCAGAGAAAGACATCACTTGGCTCCTTTGAACTATTGGAAGCAAGTACTGGTTTGCTGTGGTTTGATAGCCACATTCTGACCCTTGTGACATCATCAAGAGATTTAAGGAGGAAGGTACTAATTCCTGTGGATGGGCCAACCTTGAAATCTCCAAAATTAATRTAAAAACCCTCCCAGAAACCAAGAATCAAATGTGTAAACACTGATAAAAACAAGACCTATGGTGATATGCATCAGTCTGGAAATATAGTGATAAAAAGTTATTTTTTAAAACTCTTCTGCTTCATAAAACAGCTTTTGTTTTTATTGAAAGCCGATTGTCACAATGAATTGATATTAAAAATTCTCTTYAAGACAAACTCTGGGGACTAGTATCTCCAACACCAAGCCCAATATCTGTGCCAAGAACTGCTAATTTGAAGTAATTATTTGAATGAATATTGGTAATTTCAAAGGCAAGTGTGTCTTGCTAACAAACAGCAGGCACAAAACAGATCACAGTGTTCTGGTTTTACCTCACAGTGTTCTCAGGGATAATCTCAGAGTTTTGAAATAATCTGACAATAAAGTTCAGTAAAAATTGGTTTTTTATGACATGATGACATGACATCTAGCAGCTCTTACTGTAAGACACAGGAACACAGAAAGCTGGAAGAAAAACCAGTTATTGACTTTTAGTGCATGCACTTCATTATCCATGTGGATAATTGATCCAGAATCTGTCAAGTTGAAGGCAAAGCTGCTCATGCCGAGTGAAGTTTGGTCCTTGTCATCAATTCACTGGAGGGCAACATAAAACTCCTGGTTTCCCTGCTCATCTTTTGCAGCACCTGTGGGAAGCTGAGATAATTCTCCAGCTCCACTGATCCCTCCCACCCCAGCTTGAGGCATGCTTTGTTCACCTCAACCACAAAGAAAAGTCAATCTTTGGTTTTTCCCTGCCGCTCTCCTGGCCAGCAGTGCCTGCAGGTGCYGGGTGTCCTGGTCACTCCTCCCAGTCCTCCATGGCCCACTTGGGCATGCTGGAGCAATACTCAAAGTCCGCTCCCTTGTAGCGCAGGGCGTGCAGGAACATCACCAGCTCCTTGGGAGATGGGTCCCTCCTGCTCGTCCTGCACTCCACACACAAAGGGTCCTTCTCTTCCCAACCCTTCTCCCCCGTTTGCCCATCCTGATTCCCACACAAACTGAGCTCTTTGTCTTTCTCAAGTGTTTCCAGGTTGMTATCAGAGTTCAGTGGAYRAGCTGCTACGTCCTTCTTSTCAGGATCCTTCACATCCTCAGCAGGGCAGGAATTCCCATTTATAGGATCAACCTCTGCAGGTTTTGTGCAGTCACCTGCATTCCCACAGTCTTTACTTTCACCACCGGAGCTCAAGTCCTCCTCCCCAATACCCAAGACSTCCAGGCTCTGTTTGGAACGATGCTCCTCCACCAGTGCCTTCAGGAGCTCCTCATCTGTCTTGCCAATCTTGCCACCCTTGCCCCTGTCYGGRCCCCAGGCCTCCATGTTRTAGATGGGGTCGTTGACAATGGGGTGCCCCAGGAACTGCAGGTGCACCCGGATCTGGTGTGTGCGGCCCGTGCGCGGCAGACACCTCACCACGCTGCTGCTGCCGTTGTAGCTGAGCCTCTGGAAGAGCGTTTGGCAGGGCTTSCCCTTGGGATCCACGCGGCACACGCCCACCTTGTAGGAAACCACCAGGATGGGCTCCTCGCAGATCACCTCGTGCTCCGGGAACTCGCCCACCACCCGGCAGACATATTCCTTCTCCAGCTGCCAGGAGACACAGRAGGAAGGGTCAGGAAACGCAACAGAAAACACACCCAAACACATCCACATCCTCCTCCCTCCCTCCTCAATAAAATACATCCAAYGACAGCATTTTATTACAACAGGAAAGAAAAAAAAATTAAATCGGCTACTTAAAGCCAAATTTCCCCTCAGATCGAAATCAAGAATAGAAAGCCTGGTCTATTTTCCTCGTATTAAATTCAGAAGCCATCTCTCTGCAGCCATTGGTTTACACCCCTGAAGCCAATCCTGGAAAAAGTTCTGTTTGGATCAAGAGAATCTGGAAAAACAGGAATTTTAAAATTGGAAAAACAGCGGATGACTGACATGTCCACTCACAAATAAATCCACATTCTAACTGGTTTGCATGATCCCAGTCAGYTTGCACAATCCCGTAGGACAATCCCTTAGGGMAGATCCCTKTCAATCCAATATTACCAAAATARTTTAAATTTTTAGGAGATCACTGYCAATMTAAAATTACCAGAATYCATTGAAGTTTTAGGAGACYCTTTTCAACTYAATATTACCAAATCCAATTAAATCYGTAGGAGACTCCTTTCTGTCCAATATTACCAAATTAAATTAAATTCCCACACTGWACTAAYTTTTTAGGTGATCCCTTCCAATCCGATATCTGCAAAAGSAGTTCTATTTTTTGTGKTTTCRATCTAATATTATAAATCCCATATTACCAACTTCAATKTAATTTTTTAAGAGCCGCCTTCCAATCCGGTATTACCAAACTCGATTTTTATTCTGTGTTTAGTCCGTTAAGGATGAGAAGCACCAACAGATAAGAACAGCAACACAACCATGAGTTGTTTGGGGAGTTCATTTAGATCCCAAACCTGGATGACTTTGGAGCACACCTGCTCCAGGAGAGCGCAGTAGCAGTGGTTCCAAGCGCTCACCTGCCTCTGCCGGACCTGCTCGTCAATGCGCTTGGACACGGCGGCSGTCTTGGCGAACATGAGCACGCCGGAGGTCATGCGGTCCAGGCGGTGCAGGGTGTGCAGCTCCGTCAGGCCGTGCTCCTTGCCCAGGATGAAGATGACCGTGTTGTGCCGGAACCTGCCGCAGGGGTGGACAGGCAGCGACGAGGGTTTGTCCACCACCACCACCTCGTCGTCCTCCGCCAGGATGCGGATGGGCTGGGCAGTGACCGGCGGCTCGTGACGGTGCACCGTGTTCCTGAGGAAGTCGTTGTTCTGGAGGGGATATGGACAATTAGCCTMAATCCAGCCTGTGTAACCACCCACCCACCCACGAACAACTGGGACTTGTTATTGTAGGAGAATAAAGCCCCTTTGGCCCGGAACCCTGGATTTAGGATAATAACTGTACATGTCACCACGCAAATCCAATAACCTGCCCATAGTATGTTCTGCTTCCCAGGTGCCAAACAGAGCATGTGAAGTTGGCAATATGGGATTTATAATATTAGATCGAAAACACAAAAAAATAGAACTGCTTTTGCAGATATCGGATTGAAAGGGATCACCTAAAAAATTAGTTCAGTGTGGGAATTTAATTTAATTTGGTAATATTCCCGACTCCAGCGGGGCAGGGATTTCCCAGGAGCCCCGATTTCCCCTTCAACCCCTCCACAGGGTTCACACAACATTACAATATGACGAGTCGAACGGAACCCATCAGGATTATCGAGTCCAACTCCTGGCCCGGAGTTAGCTCATGGGGTGATGCGGTGATGCTCATGGCTCGGACAGGCAGGTGTCTCCCACCAGACCACGATCCCCAGCGGAGCGCCCACCCCGGGGCGCGCCCACCTTGAGCACGATGTCCAGGTCGCGCACRGGCTCCTCGTTGAGGCGCAGGCGGCCGGCGCGGGCGGCGGCGCGGTAATAGGAGAGGGGCTGAGCGCGGAACTCGCTGCCGAACACGTGCAGGAGGCTGCGGCCCACCCAGCGCCCCTTGCAGTAGGTGCGAAAGTCGAAGTAGTAAGGGCGCACCTTGCGCAGGCCGCCCTCGAAGTAGTACGAGGTCTCGGCGAAGTGCTCGGCRCCGAAGCTCACGCCGGCGTTCAGCTTCCGCGGCGGCGGCACGTACCGCTCYCCKCCCGCCAGCCGCCGCTTCTTGGCGGCCGGTGCCACCTCCTCCTCCTCCTTGGCGGCGGGGTCCGGCTCCTCACCGCGGCTGCCSCCGGTGCCGGGTCCCGCCTCGGCCATGTCCCCACACGGCGGCGGCAGCGGCCGGACCCCGAGCAGCGCCGCGCGCACCCACAGCACRCACCGCCCGCCGTGACGCATCACACTGCGTGACCAATCAGCGCGGCCCGCCGCCGCAGGCCACGCCCCCAGCGCACGAGCTCGTTCCCGCCCTGCGCTCTGAGGGAGCGGGAGGAGGCGGAGGCGATGGAGGGGAGGGAGCGTCTTTATTTATTTACTTCGGAGGAGTTCCCCGCTCAGAACTGCTTCACAAATGTCCCTCGAGCCTCACCGCAGCCCGCCTGCCCCTCTTCGGTCGTGTCAGGGAAAAGGCAAAACGTGAGCGKTTTTTATTAACCCCAATCAGAAAAGCCAAGAAATGAGCATTTTTCAAAACCCCAAACAGAAAAATAAACCTTCAAGAAACAAGCACTTTTCATAACCTTAAAATCCAGTGTTGCTGCCCTTGATGAAATTAGTCGGTGTGGGCAGGAAGAGAACACGTTCCCATATTTAAAAAGCATTGACAAATCAGGGTACATTGCTGCTCCGAGACACTAATCGCGACTTATTTTCGCCAAGCATTAGGCAGGAGTAGTCGATATTAAAGTGGTCTTAGTGAAACTTTAAGGATTCCTGTCTGCTTTCAGAATTCTYTGTGAACTGATGTTATCTAGAGTTTATCAGCGAGGAGAGCTGGAGTTGTCTGCATCCGCTCCCTGGAAGCTGCCACAGCCTCCAAGAGCCTCCCCCGGTCCTGCCCCTGWTCTCCATCCCTCTGGAATGAGCTCCTCTGAAGCAGAACTTCCCTTTATCCATTGTTGAAACTTCCATTAAAATGCAAAACCATACTAACCATCTACAGGCCTAAGTCCCACTCCTGAGCTTTCAGAGGTGCCTTTAGAGATGTCCATACGTGTGTCAGAGGTCATCCCTGAGGCAAAGGAAAACCAACAGTTACTATTTCCTCAGTTCCATGCCAGCATCATCACATGGAATTTAAAAACACACACAAGCTCCAGAAAAAGAGGAAATGAAAGTCTGCCACAGAAAACACCCCCTGCTTTCCTGCTCTGCCAAGCTGTTCTCTGTTTTCCACAAACAGCATCTGCCAGGGATCCAGGACTCAGTCAGCAAAGCCAAGGAGAGCAAGCACAGAAGGAGAGGAAGCAGTGTTCCTCAGGAAGAGCAGGTTTTACCGAGGCCACTGCTTTTCCTTGTCTGTGAGAGGGACGTAGATGACGCCCATGAGCTGGGTCTCMACGATGTGCCCGTCACTGGTCTTGTCGTACTGCATCAGCACCTGGTTCGCTCCCTCGGGCCCCACGGGCACGATCAGCCGCCCGCCCGGCTTCAGCTCCTTCAGCAGCTGCAACACGGAGAAATCCCAGTCAGCAGAGACAAAAAAAACCCAGCAGACAATGGGAATAATCCACGTGTGAGGGTCATGACAGAAAATAAGCGTCCGGTGGCTCCCTAGTTTTTTCTAGGGCCACTCTTACCTCCTTGGGGACGGTGGCTGCGGCTGCTCCCACGTGGATCGCGTCGTAAGGGGCCTCCTCGGGGTATCCCTGCCTGCCATCTCCAACTGCAGAGGGAAAACACGCAGGAAAGACTTTTGTTGTCATAACAACAAGAAGCATCAATGCAAACTGGAGGGACTTGGAGGAACAGAGCCGAGGCATTCCTGGAGGGAACAACCCTGGGATCGCAGGGAGCTCACCCACAAGCTTCACACGGCCAGAGCTGAGCAGTGTCGGATCATCCTCTTGGACGTTCCGGATGGATTCGTACACCAGCTCCTTGATGTGCTCCACGCCCACAGCTTTTCCCGTGGGGCCAATCTGGAAAGAACACCAAGAAGAGGTGTTTGACAGCACAGGTTTCAGTGGGAAGTGGGGAATTTCCAGGAAGAAACTCCAGAGCAGAGGTTCTGAACAGGAGGTGCAAACGCTGTGCCCCTTCCTTGGTTTGAAGGCTGGGCGGTCCCAATTATAGGAGCTAATTAAGGGATGTGCTTTCCAAGCTGGGAAGGGATTGCCATGAGCTCACCATCCTGGCGAAGCATGCGGTGAGGTATCCACTCCCAGATCCAACATCCAGCGCCTTGGCTCCTTCCACCAGCTGGTCCTTGAGCAGCTCCAGCGCRTGGGCGTGCTGTGGGGACACCCAGGACAAGGAGGTGGGAAACATTCTGGATTAGCCTCCTCTCCCAACTCTTGTTTCCTTGTTCTCTGACTTAATCACAGCACACCTGGCCTCGTGCCTGACACTTCCAGAGCGAAACTCAAGTGTCAGATCTGGAAGATCTTTTGCAGAACATMATTTAGGTAGAGGCTCAGGAATTGGATGTGAAACAGCAGGAAAAAAGGTATCATGAGAAAAAAGGGACAACATGGAATTCCCATCTAAGCACACTTTTAAAGAAAGAGTGTAGGGGAAACTCTTCTTAAAAAGAAAAATCCCTAAGGAAAGAAGSAGGATAATCATGCCCATGGGATGTTTCACTTTTCTACTTGAAGAAAAGTTAAGTATAGAAAGAGAAATAAAGAATTCCCTCCATTTCTGTTCAAAGTGGGAATTTCAGCTTACCATGTGCGGGGCGCTGATCGTAGCCTTGTAGCCTAAAAGGAAATGGGTGACACAAGTTATTTGACAAGGAATAAAATTCCCAACAGGAACAGTTCTTAATTCCCTCCTCCACCTTCCCCTAAAGATAGGAAAACACTAGAATCCCAGGATGATTTGGGTTGGAAGGGACCTGAAAGCTCATCCAGTCCCACCCCCTGCTGTCAATAGGGACACTTTTCACTACAYCAGGTTGTTCCAAGCCCCATCCAACCCAGCCTTGGACACTTCCAGGGACAGGAATTCCACATCTAGAGCATGGAGCACTGGCCAARGCACTGGCGGATGCTTCGTCCAGAGTAACTCACCAATGGATTGAGGAGAATCCATGTATGGGAAATACTTGATGTAGTGACCTCTGTCCGTAGCCAACAGCACATCRAAGACTCGCTGAGACTTAATGATCCCTTTTTCTGGGAAAGAAGGAAAAGAGAGACAGGGAGCACCGAAATCCTCAGTATTCCATCGAGAGGAGAACTGAAAGGGGAAGCACACTTCAAGGGAGTGTGTGGATCTGGGGGAATTAATGAGGCATCTGAGCGAGAGAGAAAACAAAAGGATGGTGGAAGGGCTCAGAACCGGGCTCAGAACACTGAGCCACAGCCCTTTATGYGGCTTATATGTAAGTCACACGCTTCCAGAGGCAGGGAAGGAAGGCGTGGAGAGGCTTTCCTGCCYCTTCTGGCATAACACCTTGTTTCCAGCTATAAATAGAACGAGTTCAGGCTGGGACAAATGGCGAAATTCAGGAATATCAACCCCAACCTTTCAAAGTGAGCWGTGTCATACGGTGTGACACTAAATATCCACACACAGTCATTTTATATCCGYACACTGACATTCCAGCGGATGCTGCCGGGACTCACTGTAGAGGTTGTTGACCAACTCCGAGTGCGTTTTYCCGCTGGACGTCCAGGCCATGGTCCTGGCGAAGAGCAGCCCCATGAGTGCCAGCACGGTGCCGAGCGGCAGCTGGCTCATCCCACGGACACGGCGGTGGCCTGCGCTCAGAGGGCGCTCAGAGCCACGCCAGAACTCCCCGTTTCTCACAGAAACACATCCCGCCCTCACTAAACCGTGACAAGTGTGACAGAGCCTCAAGGATGTCGCCTCCACCGCACCGTAGCACTTCCGCCCTGTGCCAACATGGCGGCGCGGCGGCGTCARCGACCCCCGCGCTGCGGACCAATGGGCGCGCTCGTTCTGCCGGGATCGCGCGGTGATTGGTCGGGATCGGGCGCGGGGACGGCGGTGATTGGCCGGGGTCGGGGCCGGTGAGGCGCGGGCGGAGCGGTGAGGCGGTGGGTGCGGGATCGGGATCGGGATCGGGATCGGGGCGGACCCTCCCTGTCAAGTCGCGCCCTGGTGGGATGAGAATTGCCCGGAATGTGCGCTGGCGTGACTCGGGCGGAGGGAGGGAGGGAGGCCTGGGCGGGCGGGTGTGCTCGGTGCTCACGGTGGGTTCCCCCCGTCCCAGGAGCCCACSATGAAGATGATCGAGAGCGTGGACTCCGCCGTGACCCGGTCCAGCGAGGACCTCTGGGCCGAGATCTGCTCCTGTCTGCCGCATCCCGAGCACAAGGATGCSGGCGATGCTTTCACAGACTCCTTCACGGATTCCTACGCGGAGGGMAGCGGATCGGGTGGCTCTTCCCAAGCCACCCCGAAGCCCTGGGCACCYCTGAACGACTCAGAGGTGTATTTAGCATCCCTGGGTGAGTTTCTCCCACTGTTGAGGCAGCTCTGTTTATGTGGTGTCCGTGCTGTGGTCAAAAAGTCTCCCAACTATTTAACAGAAAATCTAACTCATTTTCTTCAGCTCTGCCACAGAAAGGAACTTTTTGTCAAGTAAAAGCTGAAAAGATTGTTTTTTACCGCCCACCATGAGTGGGAAGCTGCACAAGCAATAGAACAGGTGGCAGAAATGGCTTTTAAAGCTTTTATTTCTACCAGAACTTTCATCTTGCCTTCGTTGCTGTTTTGCAAGAAGTGCAGTGAGAGTGATTTGTATTCCAATTTGCATGGAAATTGTGGGAACTCAGAGCCTTCGAGATCTGTGCCCTCCTCTGTGATTTCACGGAAGCTGAGCAGTAARTGTGAAAGTTATTAAACCCCAAAATGGGCAGAGTTGGCTGATTGCACAAACCTTATTTCCTTCAGAAACATTGCCTGAAAAATATCATATAAGGAAGATTCATGCAGGCTTGGAATACAGGGGGAAAATTATTTTTAAAATTAAAAATTAGTCTTGAAAAGTTAATTTCACTCACTTTTTGGTGGAGAAGTCCAGATCCTTCTCTTCTCTCCTTTCAGGAAAAACCCGTAACAGGGATAACAAACCCCTCTGTTCCCCTCACAGAGAGAAGGCTGATGAGGATCAAAGGCCTGTCGGAGGAGGTGACCTCCAAGGACATGCTGCRCACGCTGTCCCAGGCCAAGAAGGAATGCTGGGACCGCTTCCTGCAGGAGAAATTCGAGGCAGAGTGTTACGTTGAGGGCCACGATGCTGATGAGAGGTAACGAGCAAGTCAGAGGGAAGGGGTCACCATTTACCTCTTAAAAACCAGAAAAAGGTTTTTTGTTGGGCTGTGACACAAATACCATCTCCCTGCAGCTTGGAGAGCCTGCTGTGGGATTCCTGCAGCTTTTTGGGAATGYTCCTTGGGGTTGTGCTAGAGGGACACACAGAGCATGTAGGGGTTGAGCTTGCAGTGCTCTTCCCTGATCTTTGCACCCCTCAGACAGCGAGGAAGCAGCTGGGAGCTCCTCAGTGATTTCCCTCCTCACACTTGGGGCAGGAAAGGAATGGAGCAGAGGAGGGAATGTCCAGTGTGTCTCAGATGGGGGTTTGGGGTTGGTGCCAATCCTGGGATGAGATTTCCCTTCCCTGCCTCTCTTACAGCCCTTCTGCTCTCTCCCCCATTTCCCTCTCTAGTGATGTCAGAAGTAAGATGGGAGCCCTTTTCCTGAGCAATCTCCCATTCCCAATCACTTGGAAYGCTCTCCAAATTCCTCGTTTCTCAGCTGACATTTTCCATGATTGCTTCTGGCTGACAAGAAGATTATTTCTCTCCCTTGAAGAAAATATACTTAAGCCAGAACGATGAAAAATAATTCCTGTTTATAAGGAGGCTTCAGATTTTTTTTTGGTCCCTAGTTAACTTCAATGCGATTTATATTCAAAACCAAGCTTTTATGTGCTCTTTCCCTGTTTTTAACGGGTGAGGATGTTATCCATGWAGGAATTTCATTCCCTAGAATTTGACTATGAAGTTAGAAGTCACTCCTGAATGGTGCTGGGGTTTTAAGTCTCATCCACCAGTATAGTCAAAAAAGSCTTGAATTTCAAGTGCACAGAATTATGATGTTAGGCTTTTAGAGTTATACAGGTTCTTCAACCTTCCAGTGCCATTAATGCTCACACATTTTGAGATGTTCCTCCTGCTTTGGTTTTGTTCCCTTCTCTCTCCACCCTGTATTCTCTGATCTTCATCACAAAGGAGGGAGTTGGGTGTTTGGTCTGTTTGGACAAGAGTTTTTTTACTCACAGTCCACAAAGCTGAWAACTCCTGGAATCATGGACTGGTTTGGCTTGGAAKGGACCTTAAAGSCCATCCAGTTCCACCCCTGCCATGGTCARGGACACYTTCCACTGTCCTGGCTTGCTCCAAGACCCRTCCAACCTGGCCTTGAACACTTCCAGGGATCCAGGGGCATCCTCAGCTTCTCTGTGCAACCTGTGCCAGGGCCTCCCCACCCTCACAGGGAGGAATTTCTTCCRAATCCCATCTAACCTTCTCTTTGCCAGCTTGAGTCGGAGTCTTTGGCTGATGAGACAGAAAGGGATCCTATGCCAGTATTTTTCGCTGAGAGAAATCAGCGTAAAAYGTGTTCTAACCACAGTTTAAAAGGCCCCACTGCAGGAAATGGCTTTGTGGAATAGCACAAGGATCAATCCCATGCCTGACCTCACCTGTGGGAGTGGCAATGCCTGCAGAAGGGTGGGAAATACCTGTGGAGGCTTTTCCTGTTGCCTCTCTCGTGCATCCCTTCTCTGTCTCCCGCTAGTCTCACAGTGTCCCTTTGCTGTCCCCAGCACACTGGAGCACCTGAAGCGCTGGCTGCAGCCTGACAAAGTGGCCATCAGCTCCGAGGAGGTGCAGTGCCTCATCCCACCCGAATCACAGCCGGAGAAGCCGGAGGCCGAGGAGGAGCCTCCGACTGCRGAGCAGTGAGAGCCCCCCGTGCCCGGGGCTGCCTCTGCTCCCAGCCCCCAGCAGCTTGGACCCAGACACAGGAATAACAGGGAGATGGGCACAGAGCAAATTATCAGTAATTGAAAAGCAAATTTTAAAAAGAAAGAAGCCCCAGCGCACCAAATTCTAGCTCTGGAGCTCTGCAGACAGTGACTGGCACTGGCAGGGATGAGAGGGAATGCCTGTGACACAGGCTGAACTTTGCACTGACCTCCCAGCTACAGCCACCTCATCATTCCATCCTGGGTGTGGATTGTTTGGAATCCATCAGAAGACACATTAAACAGCAACAACAAAAAGCAGCAGCTGTTGAGAAGCACCAGAAAACATCACGGCCTTGAACAGAGCAGAGAAACCACTAAATCACCTTTTCTTCCTGTCTCGTACCTTTCTATTACTCAGTTGGGCATTTTTTCCTCCCTTGCCAAGTCCAGTGTGGTGTTTTTTCCAGATGTTTACTGTTTCAGTCTGACTTGGCCCCAAGACGTGCCAGGAAGAAGATGGATACTTCTCMCCTCTGTGAATTTGGGACCCTGAAGGAAGCTCTCACGGCAGTCAATAAATTGATGGTGTCAGTGATTTTGTAGCTATTTCACATTCCTTTCTGTAATGTACCCCCTAATATCCCACCTTATTCCCCAACTCTCTRTTAYAGACTAGAGGGGGAATATTTTTCCTCTTCCTGGTCATTTTGTACCTKTTCTTTGTCCCTTCAGCCTCTCCAGAAGAAGATCAGGTGAGATTCTGCATTGGGAAATAGAGAGTGGTAGCCAGGGAGGCTACAAACAACTTGTTTTCATCACAGAACTGCATAGAATTCTCTGACTTGAAATATATTTAGTATTTAATGGTTTTGTTCACCATGCTTAACTCTGCAGAGGGTTATTTCCCTTTATTAATCCAAGAACCTGATTTTGTGTTGATTTTTTGTTGATCTGTGTGTTCTACCTTGGCTCCAACACTGGAGGTCGGTAGAGGGAAGCAGCACAGTCTGTCAGAGCTCCTTAGGAGAAATTGTGGTTCTAGGAGTTAATCCACACAGGATTCATACCGTGTTCATTGATGTATCTGTTTGAAAATACATTTGTAGGAGGAAATTCTTGCTGTAGCCTCCTCATTTCCCATCTCTGTACCCGAATAGAGGTGCTGCACTCTCAGTCACTGAGTCACAACGCAGAGATTGYTTCCACCATCAGCTTTCCCAGCGTGATTCCCACTCCAGGCTCACCTCCCATTCTCCATTAAAACAACCCCTTGTTTTTTTAAACCTTGAGAAATGTGGTGAATCATCTGAATGCCAGTGATGCACGACTCGCAAGCCTCATGTCTTGCTGGTTTGGTCATTAAATGTCCCTTTTTWAAATTTATCCTTAACGTCCCTTTTAATTTATCCTTAAGCTGTCCTTTATTACATTAWGTTTGTGTTCTTGTGCAAATCCCTCTCACCTGTGATGTTACAAAGCTGTGACAAAGATGCAGAACTCTGAGCYGTTCCCAGAAATGGTTTGTGCAGAGAAAGAAAGCAGCAGTTTCTCTGTCCCCAGCTGATTTCCCAGTCAATAAAATTCCTCCTTGTCGTTAGCAAGTACTGTGAGGATGCTTTGTATTATTTTATCTATTGTTACACACATCTGAGGAAGAAATGTATCCAGAAGAACTGTAGTGAAATAATTCCACAAATGTTTCCTTTAGAGAAGAGATCTGAGGGAGCAGTTCTTACCATTTCATTTGTAAAAATATTAACCATTCCAAGATTCTCTGACTTGCTTTATGGAAACATAYAGGGCAAAAGAAAATCCAACTGATYATTGTGAAGATTGAGCCATAATTTCTTTAAATTAATATGTTTGATGGAGTTAGCTTGTTTTTCCCCTCCCATATATAATAAATATTGTAATATGCATATAATTATTTATAATTAAATTATAACATGGGCAGAGTCTGTACTTTAATCACCATTAAAAAACCCTTAAAAACTTCATTACAAAATCACTGAGACTGTGATTAGGATTGTGTTGTATCCAAGCAGTGTTGCTGCAGTTGCTTTGAGTAGCAAGGGCTTTACCTCCCAATATTGGGGTTTATTTTGGGAAAAACATCCACCAAACAAACTCCAGACCGTGAGGCCCAGGCACGGAGCAGCCAGCAGATACAGGCAATGACTTTCAGGCATGAGAAATGAATAATCACAAAGGAAACAGCACCCCCTTCCCCTTTGTACCTTTTAGAGACAGCATTTTACCTTTTTCTCTGCATGAAACAGCATTTCTGGACCCCTCAAAGCCCGCAGAGACCGAGATCTTTTCCCTGTGTGGTGACACAGCCCTGAAARGGCAGGGGTTTGCTTTCAAAATGGRGCAGAATAAAGTTGTACCTAACATGGTTTGCCTGCTGTCTTCTCAGAGCCAGGTGTGGGCAGGGAAAAGGCTCCCACCCCCCAAACACCAGAAATGTGGTTCTTCACGAGCTTGGACTGAAGGGATCGATCCCACTGAAGCAGGAGCTGGCAGCACCCGCTGGTGATGCAGAGAATCACAGAATTCCAGGGTGGTTTGGGTTGGAAGGGACCTCAAAGCTCATCCAGTGCCACCCCTGCCATGGGCAGGGACACMTYCCACTATCCCAGGCTGCTCCAAGMTCTGTCCAGCCTGGCCTTGGACACTKCCAGGGATCCAGCAGCAGCCACAGCTTCTCTGGGCACCCTGTGGGATCCCACCCCTCACAGGGAAGGATCTCTTCCCGATATCCACTCTAAACCTTCMCTCCTTCAGCTTATGGCCATTAAATATTCCATCCTTTGATTTTGACAGTCTCTCAAGGATCTGGGTTAGCAAAACCCGTGGTTATTTCTAATGACCACCCTGGTGACATAGAAAAGAATAAAAATCCCATCAAACAGATTTCTGTACAAGATGGGAGGGACACTGGGATGCCAGGGTAGATGCCACCAGCACCTCCAGCCCTCCCATCAGGGACCATCGGGCTGGGCTGCAGTTTTCAAACCCATCCTGGTACCCCTGAGTCAGGACCTGGAATGGGACAGTGCCATCTCTGGGAACAAGAGTGATGCATCCTGCAGGCTCTGGAAGCAGCAGTGATGATGTCAAAGAAGGTTTTTCCAGGATAAGCCCATGCAGAGGGAAGAGCTGCAGCCAGGTCACCCTGGCCATGCGGTATCTGGGCCGGGATGGAGCCTGCAGTGTCCTCAGGGTGGACTCATCATCCTCGGTCAGCTCCAAAGCCGAGCTCTCCTCTCAAACCAGCCTCTGGCTCTCCTTATCTGATTGTTCTGCTCTTTAAAATTAACAGCAGCTCTTGTCAGTCGCTGATACAGAGACAAAGATGATTTTCTCCCTGCTGATTATTTGGTAGGGGTGAGCACTCCCCGCTGGATCAGCTCAGCCAGCTTTAATAACCAGCCCAGCTCCATCAGATTGAGATGAATTAATCACTGTCTCGCATCAAAACTCTCCATTTTGCAGAACTTCTGTGACTGCTCTCAATTTCCATTCCTCTTATCCCCCCCAGTACTCCAGCAGATGATCACTACTTACCATTTTCCCTTATTTAACTAAGGCTGACTCTGGTACCCTTTCTCATTTGGGCAATTCCCAATGGCTGGACCACCCCCATCCCATCCTACACTTGCCCCGCAGCTGGGCCACCAACACCCCGCTCATCCCTCACTCCACTCTGCCCTCATCCCACTTTCCCCCGTTCTTCCCTCGCCCCCCGGGCCGGGGACGGGGCGGGCGCTGCCGAACCCCGGGAGCTCCCCGCCGCTCCTTCACCTCCTTCCCTGCCGGGGGAATGTCCCCGGATCCGGCCCCGAGGG